CAAATGGGAGTGAAAGACAAGAAAAAAAATAAGTAAAAAGACAGACAGGAAGGAAGGGAGGGAGGAAGGGAGGGAGGGAGGAAGGGAGGGAAAAAAACATTTTAGTTCTGAAAACTGAAATCTCCATTATCAAACCTTTTCTAATGTACTTTCTTCACACACATGAAAACAGGCATATACACCTTCGTTTTGATATATGCATATACATATATTATCTATGCATTTTAGTATCATGAGCATCTTGTACATTTTCTCCAGCTGAAAATATAATACTGTCATCCCTAGTGATTAATCCTTAGTTTGCTATTGTTAATGAAAAGTTGGGGTAATGACCCTAATGACATCTTGCAAAGTACCAAAAATTTAAACTTCAGTATCATCCCAAATCTTACCACTTCTTTTCAGCAAAGTGTTAATCAAGCATTATAGCAAAAGATTTGTCTGTCATCTATTTTCTGGACTTAGGGGAATAAGAGTAATTATATCCAGAAAGGGGGACAGGGGTGCGAGATTTAAAGACAGTCAATTGAAATAAAAGAAATAAAAGGATAAGAAGCCCAGATAATCTATGAACTGGCCAGTTCCTGAATAAATCAAGAGGTAGTTTTGCATTAAGGAATTAGAAGTGTCATTTCCAACTTGTGATTGCTGCAAATATTGGATTCTACTCAGGCTTGGTTTTAAGAGCACATAAAGTAAGCCAGAATTAAATGGAAGGCTAGGAGAACATCACCTAATCTGAATCCCTTCCAAACGTCAGCGGCAAATAAGATGTTGGTGTGAGCACAGCAATATTCTAACCTCCTTGTACTGGTGAAAACACTGGCCAGAAAAAATGATGCAATAATGCTGGACGCAAATGCAGCCAATGGGAAAAAATAAGGGTGAAGAAAAGAAAGAGCATGTTTATGTTGAAACTTAAACATCACATTAACTTTTCTGAACTACTTTGGAACTTTAAAAAGTAAGCATGCATATGAAATGTATTTTGAAGCTTTTAAGTGTAGGTTAATATGTTCCATGTGCTAGTTTGTATTTTTGCAAGGATACTGGAAGATATAAGCCACTATTAAAAAGTACTTATGGAAAACAAATACCTCCAAATCTCTCCATTAAATTATAAATGACAAACAAATTAATTTAGTTCTATACAGTTAAAGAGAAATTGTTTATCTTTTTCTCCAACCTCAGCTGCCAGAAACACACCACACTGTTTGTGATAAACACTTCATCTTTGTAGAAGAAGCCAAACCTAATTTTGGGAACACAAGATGTTATGGACGGAGGAAGCTGGAAGCTTCTGAGAGAAAAGCCTGCAAGCCACAGAACTTGGAGTGCCGTGTGCCCACCAGCAACACAACGTCACAGGTCCCTGAGCCTGGCTGCTTCCAGAGCTTCGAGAAGTCTCTTCTCTATGTGCGTCCCTGGCTTTGCTGTAACCACTCAGATCCGCAGAGTAGAGGTGGTAGAAGATCGCCACCACATTCCAAGCTCAAGAAATTCGGAAAGGCCATAGTAAAGTTATATTTTATATTTTCAGCAACTCAGCTCACAATGTGGCTTACCATCACCCCATAAAGTAAATAAATAAAATTAAAGAACCCCATTTAGTAATACAAATAAATCACAAGAACCCAAGATACCTTCAGACAGCAGTAGTTAACCGCAGCCAGTAGGGACTACAGACCGAATGAAAAGAAAGGAAGGAGGACTGACCAATGTGAACACTTAGACCATGCAGACACAACATGAGCTGTCAATCAGCCTGCCAAAATATTGGCATGTGTGTCCCTTCTACACAGATATGCATTCTCAGCACAGTGTTTGTGCCTAATTAATAAAATTATTTCAGCTGGGCCCTATTAGTGACCATCAAATGCACTTTTATGAAATAAAGGGAAGACAGTCCAGTGGCAGTCTATGATGGTCTTCATGGGACAGTTTTGCCCCCAAGTTGACACGGTCGATATTTTATTTTCTCAATCCTCTGGATATCTTTGAAATAAAACATAGGGCTAAATGATACATTTGCTCTCTGTTTCAGGCTGGATGCAATTGATTTTAACTGACTAAATGATCCGATCTCTGCCAAGGATTTTATTTCATTAAGAAAATGATATTAAGGAGCATCTGAGATCATGGAGCAGACTAAACATAATGCCAAAGGAGTTCTGAGAATGTGCCACAGTGAAGGTTTGATTATTTGCAGATGGACTACGGAAAAGAAAAAAAAAGAAAGAAAGAAAGAAAACTCAGGTCCCAGGGGCAAGCCTAACCAACCCTGGTGCCATTGCTGCCTACATCCCTGCACACAGCCAAGGAAATAACTCATCTATTATGCTACAACGCCTTTATTTTTTTTTAAGGAGTAATCACTTTTTTTTTCCTAGAAGGTAATATTTAACTGCCACTGTGCAAAACAAAGGAGCAAGGGGAAATGTTGGTACCACAACAGGCTCCCACAAGCCAACTGTCACTCCTGACACGATTTGGCTGGTAGTCAGGCATTCACCGAAAAACTAATTTAAATCAATCTCCTTTGGAAAAAGCCAATTGTTTGGTAGGCACAACAATTGGTGTAGGATCAATCAGTGGACATGAGATCAATTAAAACCAGCTTAAGTTTGTGAAGAGGGACAATTCACACAACTTGAGTTAGATCTCTATTCATTTCAATATTCTCACAATACCGTCCTTAAGCTTCCTTGCAGGGCAGAAAGGCTACTATGACCCTGCACTGTCTAGCCAGCCCTTTAAGTAGTTCCACTTTTAATTAAAAACACAGTGCACCCTTTGTTGGCACAGATAGTGTGGTCACTTTAAAAAACTAGTTATTTTAGGCGCATAAACTTGGGATTCAGGAAGAGACATCTGTTGAGGGAGAGAAGAAAGCCAGAAACATATTTTGATAGGCAATTTTAAAACAGCCATACCAATCGACAAGTACTTGAAAGCCTTCAAACTCTATGATATGACAAGGTTGATCTGGCACACGTTACTGTTGCACACTTTCTAATTGGGTTTTTAAATGTCAGAGCTTGGGACTGTCTAAGGCAACTGCTGCAAGTGATTTTGCTAAAGCAAGCTCTGAAACAAAATAGGTTCAATTCAGATACCCAAGAAGCAAAGCACAGGCAGAGAGAGCCTGGGGGACAGCCCTATAGGAGAAATAAAAGCATGCAGTATCACTTCTGGCCGCAGGAGTGCTGTAATGCCATTCTCTACCAAGCAGCATCTCCGAATTTAAGTTCTCAGACAATGTGCTTAATTCTTCTCCACTCAACCACAGGGGCCAGCAGTGTGAATCAGAAATCCATCACTGATTTAGTAAGTCATGTAATCATCAAGAATGTGCCAAGGAGCTTAGGTACTTCTGTATGTTGCAAACATTTATGCACTTCATTGTTTTCAACGAAACGGATTACAATCCCAGTTTTTAAAAGTGTGGGGGGGGTAGCTTCTCCAAACACTTTATAACACAGTATAATAAAAATTCGCCAGTTCTGCCAAGTAATGCCTGGAGATATAATAATGGCATGGAGAAAGAGCCCATTGGGAGGGATGAGATGGAGAGCTACTTTTCAAAGGCAGGTATCAACATGAAATTCTTACAGCCTTTGGGGAGGAGTTTCTCTTTTACATTTTTATATGCAGTAATCTCTGAAAATAGGAACTAATAAACCAGAGATACATAGCAACAATTAAAAACACCGGTTCCTCAATAGTCACACATCATCAGTGACCCCAAGCTTTGCTCTGGAATAGGCTAAGCTCTTCGGTTCATAAGAACAGCTTAATGCCCCTCAAACTGCCAATAATAATAATAATTAACAATAACAGTGACAATAAATGTCTTCAAAACTAGCTGCAGGGTCAGAGTCCTTATCCCACCAGAAATTGAGACGTTTATAGCCTAGAAAAGCAAAACCAAAGTCTACAAACCATGACAAATTCTAACTTCGCAAAAGACCAAACTGGTAGTCAAAGACGACTGACTCGCATCAGGTGCTAACAAAAGGCTGTTGTGAGAGGGCCCTACGCTGGCACTTAGTGGCTATGCCTGTGTGGTTTATGTTTAAGTCCCTCCAGAAGACTGCATTGTGTCTGGTTGCACATGCTCTAAAATGCATTTGGCTTAGCCACCGCCCCCAGAAGGACTGGAAGACAGGAGTACAGAAATATGAGCAAGTCGAATTCTCTGAAATCTTTCTTGGAGGCTTCCATCTGCCTGCACCCCTCACACAAGTGATGGAGAAGTGAGTATTTAAAAAGCCTCAAGTGAATTTCATTGAGGACAAAAGCCCTTCTCCGAAATCACTGCTTTGAGAAAGCAAACAACCGGACAACATGGGTCTATTTTTAAAAACATTCACGCTGCAGGGGAGAACTCCCCGCGAGAAAACCAGAGCAGGAGTTGCTACTTTCATTAAGTTCCCATCTCTTCTCAGGTTCCAGAAAAAGAGAACAGTGTTGCTTTTTTCTTGGCAACTCAGGTTCTGCCATGCAACTTGACATTTCTCCCCAACACCGCCCCTCCCCCGCCCATACACACACCCCATGCCAGACCATGTCTAAAGCTATCTGGGGCAGGATTTAGGGCACACGTGGGTCGGGAAATTAAAGACACTTGGACTTCGAGGAAGATGATTAAGAAGACAAAAGGAGAAAAACTAGAAAAATGGATGCCACATAAGAAATATGATCCAAAGAAGAGTTCAAGAGAGGCGGCACAGACTGTGGACCACATGATGAATCCCTGAGCGCTTGCGCTTGCAGGAGAGAAGCCCAGCTCGCCCGGCTCCCAGCACTTCTCTTCGCGTCTCACCGCGCCTACTAGGGGCAGAAGAAATCCTTCTGCTGAGCATTGAGACCCTGAGAGTGGGCAGTTGTAGCCCACACATGAATTGGGGTGCAAAGCACAGTTCTGTCCACCGAGTCCCCAAAGCCTAAATGTGAATAAGCACTCCCGACACTCCCACCCACTCAGGAACCCCACGCACCTTCAGGCGAGAGCGACCCACCTCGCTTATTGCGTCTCCATCGGTTGCCTTGGCACTGGCTGTAATCCATACAGTTCAGAATGATGAGGGCAAAAGAGAAGAGGCGAAAACGCATCTGGACGGTCGGGCTGGGGAGAGACGCCTCTCAAAGTCGAGGAAACGCGGGGCTCCTGCAAGGAGACAGTGCGGGTCGCTCCTAGTGAGGACTCACTCGGAGACAGATGCCACTGGCCCTGGAGCTGCAATGGTCAGTTTGGCTCGCTCAGCATCGCTCACTCCGCCCGTGAACCTGGGAGACGGAGAAAGAGAAGCAGTGTGGGTGGGGGACCGAGAGAACCCAGAGGAGGTACCTGCACCTTCGCGCCTCTTGGTTTAAAGAAAGGAAGGAGGGAGGGCGCGAACTCACTGGCACGAGCCACGGAGCAGTTTAACGCAGATGGCACAGCTGCAGAAGACTTGGAGAGGAAGGTGATTACAATCAGTGAATTAGCAACCTCTGTGGCGCAGTGGCTTCTGACCCTGGGGAAAGGGCGTTGTGTGGGCTCTGCGGAAGAAAAGGCGCCAGGCGCTCTAAGAGCACCGGAGCGCTGGGCTTTAAAGGGGCGCTCGCTTCGCGCCCCGGTTAGGCTATCCCCGCTCCGCTGCACCAGGTGTGGATCGCCTACCGTGCGCGCGTGTCTCAGGCTGCACAGCGTGCCTAGGCGCGGCGCTCCATCCCAGGCTCGGGAAGCGAGCCGGGCTGTTTGGTCAGCACGTGGGCTCGGAAAAAGTTTGCCAACACCAGCCGGGAGCTCTTGGCAGCTCTGGGATTAGGCCGGCTGCAGCGGGGTCCGCGGACCCCGAGGGTCCTCGGAGCTGGCGGTGCCTGGCAGGAGCGCGCAGCCGGGCAAGCGCGACCGCAAGCACTGAGATGCTGATCAGGTCTCAGCCCGCGAGAGAGAACGATTCCCCGGCGAGGGGCGCGTCCGCTCTCCTCTTGGCGTCCGGGTCCAGTCGCTGCTCTCGGGGCTCTCTCCACGGCCACTTCACGGCTGAGGTTTCTCCCTGCCCGCGCAGGAGGAGACGGGACACTGCCTCGAGGCTGAAGGGATGTGGCCAGGGCACTTTCCGATGGAGATGCAGACAAGCTAAGGCTCGGGATGCTTCTATAAGTAGGTGGTGCTGTGGTCCAAGGCATCTAAAGCCAGGCTGCCTCAGAGTCCCTGGGTCCTAAAGCCAGAAACACGCTCGCTCGGGTTTCCCTGAGGTCCTAAAGAGCACTGACAGCATGAAGGGAGCGTCACGTAGGAAGAAATGCTCACCAGGCTTTCACAGAGGGATTGTTTAAACTGGACAGTACCTAGCGTGAGGGATAGGGCCTGACCTTGCTGTTTATGGCCAGGGCATCCTCCCCGAAGCGCTGGGCTCACCTCACCACTAGCCTTTCTACAGGAGAATCTGATGAGAAACTGAAGATGCCTTCTCTAGACTGCTTCCTGATCTCCAGGCTGAGAATGCTGCTTTTGAAAAACAGAGTTTAAACTTCAGCCACTTTTTTTTTTTTTAACATGAAGGCACACCTCTGCCCTTTTTTAAAAGTTTAACTCTCTGCCCTGCTTTGCAAGCAGACTTCCCCAGATCTGAAGCAAGGCTGAAATTAAAACACACACACACACACACAGAGTTTAGGGAGTGCGATTAGTGTTTCTCTTATCCTTCACCTTTCCTCGAAACTTGTTTTTTTGACTATTTTTCCCCAAGAAATTTCACAAAGTGTGTGATACTTTGCAATACTCAAAAAGAAAGTTTGTTTCCCACGGACACATGCTTCATTCTTAATTCTTACCCCTCCCCCGTCTTCCAAGATCTGAACTAAAGTTTCAGATGCCCTTGGTCTGGACAAACAGTGCAGCATTCATTAAATAAGCTAGGTGATACCTATTTTGTTCTAGTGAAATCTTCTGTCCTATGTTCACTACTATTGGAAATAATGTATTTCTTCTTTGAGCAAAAGATAAGAATTTATAATGCTAAATGTGGCAAGATGGGTGTCTCTTTAGACACGTTCCTAGGCACATTATTTTAGTAGCATTTTAGTGGCTGTTGATTGGTTTTATTTTTGAAACTGGATTACAAGGCAGGCCAACCTGGAACTCATCCTGGTAAAGCTGGCCTTGAACCCTTGATCCTTCTGCCTCTACCACCTAAGAGCTAGCTTTGCCAGTAGTCCAAGCTCTATAATAACATTTTATACAATGTCAATTCCCTTTTCTATTCCTTCAGTTTCTGCATATGCTCAGAAATCTGAACTGAAGAATCATATATAAATAACAGGGCTGTTATAGCCACGTTTGTTAACTGTTCCACTATTCTGTCCACAACAATTTCACTGGCATCACTGTTACACAATAATATTCCTATTCTAGGAATTCCAGTGCCTGGGGACACATAAGTAAACCTGGGTTGAAGGTTTGGTGCCATTCCATTGATAAGAAAGTTGAGCCAGGACACTTGCTCACGGAGTACAAACCTCTGACCAGACACATAAGAGAAGCAGTTACTTTGACCCAGCTCACCTAATCCTTTACTCTTTCATTTTAAAAAATATGTATTTATTTACTTTAAGTGTATGGGTGTTTTAACTGCATGGATGCCGGTGCACTGCCTGTGTTCCTGGTGCCTCCCAAGGCCACAAGAGGGTGTCACATCCCCAGTGACTGGAGTTAGACAGTTATCAGCCAACATATGGATGCTGGGAATTGAACCCCTGGTCCTCTGGAAGAGCACACAGTGTTCTTAACTGTTGAGCCATCTCCATCCCCAATCCTTGACGTTTTATCACAAAACTTGGAAATGACTGGAAACAACTCAGCATTCATAGTTCCCTCTCCAGCTTGACAAATGCCTCTCTCTCCTCCAACACATTCATTTGCGCACACCAAAACTGCTGTACATAGGGTGAAATTCAAGGGATGGAAAAAATACTTTCCCCAAGGAGCTCCGTGGATTCCAGCATAGCTCAGAAACACACTTAAGATTAATGAATTTATCATCATTGAAATGAGCACAAACCAAGCTTATGCAGCACTACTGTTCATGGGTTACTTTAGGCAATTATCTAGATCTGAGTTTCTTTGACAGTATTTTCAGGGAATTAGATTAAATTTTCTTTCACCCTTTCTACCCTAAAATCCATTTTTGGAGAAATTTGCGATGGGGTCTAAGGAGTCTCAGAACAAAGTCATCAGTGAATGGAGTCTCCTTAGAAAAGAGGTGTTGTCATCCTGGATTAAATTTCTGAACTACTTCCAATCTTATTCCTCCAATATTTCAGAATTTTATTCCTCTGGGTTGCCCTGTTTTAACCAGAAATATTTTTACAATGGTGAACCTCTGGGTTCAATGCATGAGAAAAGAATTTAACATGTCACATTTGCAGCCTATGGTCAAATGTGCTTAATAATATAAAAATAGACTTTGGAAAGAAAAAAGATGTCTGAGTACTTTTTGATGATATCCTGGTCCCTTTCTTCTTTGTAAAGGATAGAAAAGGAGAGAGCAGGACCTTAAAGTCTGTCACACATGTGGTATTCGAAGTCTCATGCTTCATTTCTGATGTAAACTTAATCTACACAAAATCTTTTTCTTGCCCCCCACTGAGTATTAATTTCAAAAATCTAAGCTTGTTCCCACTTAAAAAAATACAGCTTTAGTGGATCCTAAACTATTCTGGACTTTATCCCATATCTTTCCTTCCTTTCATCCCTAGATTAGAATGTGCTGTTGTTGCGGCTCATGGTTCCAAGTCGTTCCATTCTCAAGGGACTTTTCCCTCTAACCGAGTTTATGTGGTTGTTTCATGAAGGAGCTTTGTGTTAAGGTGTGTGCCCAGTGTTTGTTTACAGAGATGCACATGGATAAGGCTGACTCCATACCACTCACTGGTGACAGAAGGGCTCCTTTCCTTGGAAACAGTTTATTCTTGAATAACTTTCTGAGTTTTGATTAGACTTCCAGAGACGAATTTATTCTTAATAAAACATTTGTGCTTATCAGTCAAATGTGTGCATTTGTGCATATGATAGTCTTATCTTTAACACACAGTCCTCTTCTCTCTCTCTCTCTCTCTCTCTCTCTCTCTCTCTCTCTCTCTCTCTCTCTCTCTCTCTCTTTCTCCCTCTCCCTCTCTTAGCTAGAAGGGTGTAAAAACAGATATGTGAGATGTCCTAGATAGCAGGCAGTTTTTGTATCTCACTTTCATGAGTCCTTCATTCAGATAGCTTTAATTTTCAGTTCTTGCAAACAAGCATTTATATAAAAGGCTCTCACTCCTCCCTCCCCCGGGCAGCCTGTTCTCTTCCTTAGAGAGAGTTATTTTTGTATACTTTTCCAAGTTTTGAGTAGACGACCAATACTTCTAAATACTTTAGCCATTTTTGTGCTTGTCAATCAATATGTTTAGATTCACATATGCGAATGTGTGTGTATTTACACATATGTGTTCTTGCTTATCTCTCTTACATCCTAATCTCTCTATTTGTGCCTTAGTATTTTAAGTGTGTTTTTGAGTCCATTCCACATCAGTTTGGTGTTCCTTCTTCTATTCATGCAATCACATATCGTTTCCTCATATTTAGTCAGCTCCCTGAGAATACATGGTCCTTCTTTTTCTCTTTTTTTTTAAGCACCACTTCAGTTGACTTCACATGATAAATTCCTAAAACTAGGAAAGTTGGATTAAACAGTTGTGTATATCTTTGTGTTCTCTCTCCCTGCCCCCCCCATGGGTGTTTGTGTGTTTCCCACAAATTGCCTTCTGTAAAGGTTTAATGATATTACAATGCATGAAAAACCTTTCTCCCTAAAAGCCAAACAATTCATTTCTTAAATACTACCAGGCAAAAGTAGTTTCAAAGTAAAGTAATTAGTAATTCTTTTCTTCTAAGCAATATTGTGTTCATCTAGTATGTTTAAATCCATAAACTCTCTAAATATACAATTTTCTATTGTCTTCAAACTGTTGTTTATTTGTAGAATATAGCCTGTTAATATGTATTATGTCTTGCCATGTGAATTGAAAATGTGTTTCTTTTCAATTTGATCAACTGTCTTTTAACTATGTTTTTTATGTATATTAGTATACAGAAAACTTTAAATAATATACTGGAGTAGAATTTGTCAATCTTACCTTCCCGTGGGTCACAATTGTCAGACCTGTTGCCCATGGCAGTTTCTTCACATTTTCATTCAGCAGGTAGCAGATGCACCATTTCCACAATGTACAGAGAATGCTCGTGATTGATCTTATGTCTGGACAATAGAGACTAGGGTAGAATAGATGTGGCTCTTTCTGAATCTTGAGTGTTAATGCTCACATATTTGGTTGAATTTGGCAATGATTCTTGTTTTCATTAGCTCACTGACTTAGAGTCCCTTAATCGTTTATGTTATCAGATATTCATATTCTCAGACTAAAGTTTCCCACAATGCTTTAATTCATTGTTGATGTTTGTTAATGGTACATGTAGTATTACAGGCTGGAACAGTTTTGGCGTTTTGTGTCATTGTGTCAATATTGATTATGTAAAATTTTTCCTTTTAAATATATTAAATGACCATTGTGTTAGCTGCATGTGATAGTACATATTCATTTATTATTTGTGTATAGAAGTTAAATTAATAAGAAAAATTGTCACCAAGGTCACAAATCAGTCCTTATCCAGCCCAATTTGTTATTTTAAAAAGTCACATGATAATCACTTATTTAATGGTTTGAAATGTGTAAATATTTGATTCTCCAAAAGCTAATCATGTGTTCTGCCACTTGAGAACTTGCTTCTACACTGATGTCATAACACCTATTTCTTACTATTTCTTAATTCTTGTTCTCCATCGCCTCAAAAAAAAATCCAAAAGGCCATATTGATCACTCCAGAGGAAATCTGGACCAGACCATCTCAATAGAGAAAACTCAAGATCTGACCTAAAGTTTTAATGTTATCTCCCTTACATAATCTTTCATGCCCTCAACACTTTTGAACTAAAACCACAAGTAATACTTCAAATTTCTTGTGTGTGAATATAGCTTCAGAAGCAAACGTTACTGTAACAATGAGAGATCCATGAAGATTCTAAGTTATTTAAGACATAGGTTCAGTTTTCACTGCTGTGCATGGTGTTGGGGTGTCTCTTACACCCTGTTTGGGCAATA